GTCCCCTTCCTTGGAAAGTAGACCATGTCGAACAAGCCTCCATGATTTATCTTGGCTGGACTCCAAGAAGGGATGCCCACCGAATCTTCGACAAAGAAGTCTGAACAAGGCAAACGAGAAGCAGATGTCCTTGAGCCGTTAGCCGCTTCGTCCCTTAAAACACTCCCGTCGTACTGCCAGATCTTCTGAAGTTAACGACTTGGGGGAGCTGTAACATTCAGTTGATGATCATAACTTGGTGGGGAGGCAGTCCATTCGGTATCTCCTGAAGCCAAATAATTGTATCCCTTCATTTGGGTTGGATCTAGCTCACCATCAACGGGAATTCGATGCTCCCCGGGCATGAAATCCGCAATATTTTTGGTGGTTTGGTCTAAGGAAGATATAGTGGCCATCTTCAAAGCTACTGCTCTTTCGTCTATCCTTTTAGCTGATAAAAGGAAAGAAATAACAAGAACAGTCTTACCATACCCCGTTGTAAGAGCGTAAACAAGTAGGTTTGACACCAAAATAGATCGAAACAATGCTTGTGCAGCGACACTCTTCCATTGTTCATTGTCTTTTTTTTTTTTTGGTAGAATCCATTGTTCATTGTCGGCAGGACTATACGAAGAAAAGGGATCGGCACTCCCGGTGGTGTTGAGGAGAATCGCACCCCACGTTGTTAGACAATATGAAATAGCAGAAGAATAAAAAGAATATTTCTGAAACGTGATCTCATTTTTTTTCAAGATTTAAAATCCTCTAAAATATAATAGAATTTAAAACTTTTTTAAAAATTAGATGTAGAACTTTGACTTTGCATAATAATTTATAATGCCTGAAAAGTCACTATTTGTAGGGATGTATCTTTTCAAAAAGATATTATTTTATATATGTACTTTTTGACAGTAAAAAATTATGTTTGATTTTTAGACATGTATTTTCAAATTGTAATTTAATAAAATAAAATAAAAAATCTGAAAATAATAAAAAATTAAAAATGTTCTAACAATCAAGTACCTAAGTGCTTATCTTTTGATTATATATAAAGAGATTAGGTCCAATTTTTTTTGAGTTTTTACTTTACTTAATTATTTATTGATAAAAAATAAGTATTTATAAACTCCTTTAACTTTTTATACTTTTATGATGTGAAATCTTAAACATTTATAAACTATTCAACAATAGCAAAGAGCACATTCTGGAACGGAGCACCCACCATCTGGCCGACTGTGTGGGTGAACACAAAGTTGGTCACCAGAAAGTAGTTCATCCATTGTATTTTATCAAACACCACGCTACTGCAGTAACGCCTGCATGATGCAAAGGCAACAAGAGCGACTTGTCACGGACCGCGAGCTCGGATGCCCAGGAGAAAGGTCCCAACGCCAGGGTCGCGGCACAACGTCGCGGGCTCGACGGCCTGGTGCGCTCGCGCGCAGCGTCCAAATGGCACGGCCGCAAGCAGGAACGGTATCGACGCCTAGGCGCGAACCAGGATCGCGCAGAAGTCTCCAGAAGCAGCCTGTGAAAAGGATAAGGACCAGAATAGTGCTGAGAAGAGATAAGGATGTGAACAGTGCTGAGAAGAGATAAGGACGTGAACAATGCTAAGAAGGGATAAGGACGTGAACAGTGGTCTGGTCCTGGGCTGCCTGTAGAAAATTCTAAGAGCCTTGTACATAATTCTAGAGTAAGGAGAATTCTAGAATATTGTAGGCCAGACGAGGAAGGAGGAGAGAAGAGTCTACAAAAAAGAAAAAAAGAGGACTCTTTGGGAATGCTCTAGAACCTCTGCCAAGGGTGACTGGCCTCCTCTATAAATAGGGGGAGCCTCAGAAGGCAGAAGGTACTTAGCCAAGCATATACCCAAACTCTTGTAAATTTTCCTTGCGTCTAATAAACTCTCATTTTCTCCCAACTTCCAACCTTTGCATTTTAAGCTTCACAAGCCTCTTAGTCCCGTAAGAGGACTGCACCCAGCACCAAGGGAAGGCTGACTTGGTTTGGTTAAGGGGTGAAATCCAAGCTAAGTGCCGCACGATGACTAGCTAGAGTCTCGTCCCGTGACAAGTGGTATCAGAGCGTGGTTTGACAGCCTAGTTACGTGGAGGAGAATCGTGACAATGGCAAGCCAGGGGGTTGAGGCTAGCAAAGTTGCAGAGGTTCCAAAGGAGAGGGGTCGTCGGGAGACCCGTGGGGACGCTCGGAAGAAGAGAAGGTCCAAGGCATTGTCGCCAACATCGCGGGATGCATTTACAGCCTATGAGGGGAGGCTGGTCAAGCTCGAGCTAGCCATGGGTGATGTCCATGAGCAGCTAGACACTCTTGATTCTCGGATGGAGGAGCAAGAGGACAGGGGCGGCAGTGTCGAAGAGCTTGATGGCAAGCTCCAAGGTGCCCTTAATTCGGTTGTCGCTGACATGCACAAGGCCATGGAGGAGTTTCGCGGGTCCATTGCAGCAGAGGTCAGCGCACTGAAGGCGGAGCTCAGCGAGGTCAAGGGGGACCTAGCCTTGTGCAAGGCTGCCATGGCCGCTGGCGTTGCAGCTGGCGGTGCGCCCAGTGTGGCACCCAAGCTGAAGGTGCCCGATCCACCCAGATATGGAGGTAAGCGTGACTCTAAAGAACTCGATAATTTCTTATGGATGGTTGAAAGCTATTTAGATGCTATGAATATTTCCGATGATTCTGCAAAAATTCGTATGGCAACCATGTATTTTGAGCATGATGCCACCCTGTGGTGGAGACGCCGACATGCTGAGATGCAACGAGGCTTATGCAACATCAACACTTGGGAGGTGTTCAAGGGGGAGTTCCATAAGCAATTCTACCCCGAGAATGCTGAAGAGGCAGCCATGAAGAAGCTTCGTGTGCTCAAGCATACCGGGTTGATCAAGGACTACATCAGGGAGTACAACTCCTTAATGCTTGAGATCCCCGATATGACTGAGAAGAATCGGCTACTCTACTTCATGGATGGACTACAGCGGTGGGCTGAGCAAGAGCTGAAGCGCCGTGGCGTTCAAGACCTTGCGTCAGCCATAGCGATTGCTGAATCACTTATCGAGTTCATGGATGGACTACAGCGGTGGGCCGAGCAAGAGCTGAAGCGCCGTGGCATTCAAGACCTTGCGTCAGCCATAGCGGTTGCTGAATCACTTATCGAGTTCAGCAAGGAACCTCCTAAGAGAGGCAAAGACAAGAAGGGTGGCTCGAGCAAAGGTGGTGGAGACAAACCGCACAAGGCCTCCAAGCCTTTCAAAGGCCCAGAGAAGGCAGGGGATGGCGGCAAGATGCAACCCAAGGTGAGGAGGGATTGCTACCTGTGTGGTGGTCCGCATTGGGCAAGGGAGTGCCCGTAGCGGAACAAGCTTAACGCCATCATCTCAGCGATTGGGGAGCCATCCCAAGCGGGGGAGACGAGTTTGGGAGCAATGCAAATTCTCAATGCCATACGGGCTAAGGTGCAGAGCGGGGGTGGCGCCAAGGCCCGTGCCGTGGCTGAACAGAAGGGTGTCGGCAGGACCCTCAAATATGTTAATGTCAAGATCAAAGGGGTAAGCGTCCGTGCTCTATTGGATAGTGGCGCTAACCAAAATTTGATTGCAGTTTGCCTTGCGGAGAAGCTGGGTCTGTCATACACTAAGGAACCAGGATGGGTGAAGGTGGTCGATAATCCTTCTCAGCCCATCTGTGGCATTGCACGCGGAGAGCCCGTGCAGATAGGCTCATGGTCGGGGAAGCTTGACTTGAACGTCATAACCATGAGCGACTTCAAGCTGGTGTTGGGTGGTGAGTTTATCGACCAACTGTTGCCTTTCACCTTCACCAAAGATGGCTGCATACGCTTTGAGGACGGGAACCAGAGTCACAAGGTGCCCCTGGAGCGGCTACCCGTTGGAGACCGCGTCCTCTCAGCTATACAAGTATCCAGAGGCATCAAACGAGGTGAGGATACTTATCTAGCTGCTTTAAAGGAATATAGTACCTCGTCTCTTGATGTTCCACAGGAAGTTCAAGGCATTCTCCACGAGTTCGAAGATGTGATGCCCCCGGAGTTGCCAAAGAAACTTCCACCACGGAGGGAGGTCGACCATGCCATTGAGCTGGAGCCTGGTTCGAAACCGCCAGCAATGGGTCCATACCGCATGGCTCCACCTGAGTTGGAGGAACTCCGGAAGCAACTCAAAGAGCTACTAGATGCAGGGTTCATCCGTCCCTCCAAAGCACCTTATGGAGCACCAGTGCTGTTCCAGAAGAAGCATGACGGGACCCTCCGCATGTGTATCGACTACCGGGCGCTCAATAAGATCACAGTGAAGAACAAATACCCCATTCCTTTGATTGACGACCTATTTGACAAGCTTGGGAAGGCACGATGGTTCACCAAGCTCGACTTAAGGTCGGGGTATTGGCAAGTGAGAATAGCCGAAGGGGACGAGGCCAAGACCACCTGTGTGACGCGTTACGGTGCATACGAGTTCCTGGTGATGCCTTTCGGCCTCACAAATGCTCCAGCTACTTTCTGCACCTTGATGAACAAAGTTGTCCACCCATTCCTTGACAAATTCGTGGTGGTATACTTGGACGACATTGTTGTCTACAGCGAGACGCTGGAGGAGCATGTGCAGCATCTTCGACAAGTTTTCCAAGTGTTGCGCGAGAATGAGCTCTACGTGAAACAGGAGAAGTGCTTCTTTGCGCAACAGGAGGTGATGTTCCTAGGCCATCGGGTAGGCCATGGGAAGATATCGATGGACTCGGCCAAGGTGCATGCTATCCAGGAGTGGGACCCTCCCAGCTCAGTCCCCAAGCTGCGATCATTCCTTGGCCTAGTCAACTACTATCGTCGGTTCATCTAGGGGTATTCGGCAAGGGCCACACCCTTGACGGACTTGCTCAAGAAGAAGGTCTCGTGGGAGTGGACAGCGGAGTGTCAACGAGCCTTTGAGGACTTGAAGCAAGCGGTGAGCCAAGAACCAGTGCTCGCATTGCCCGACTATGGGAGGCCTTTCGAGATGCACACTGACGCATCCGACTTGGCGATCGGAGGAGTCCTGATGCAAGACGGCCATCCCATAGCATTTGAGAGCTGCAAGCTCAATGACACGGAGAGGCGGTACCTGGTGCATGACAAGGAGATGACTGCCATCGTCCATTGCTTGCGGGTATGGCGTCATTACTTGCTTGGGAGCAGGTTCGTGATCAAGACTAATAATGTAGCTACGAGCTACTTCCAAAGGCAGAAGAAGCTCACGCCCAAGCAAGCAAGATGGCAAGACTTCTTGATCGAATTCGACTATGTGATGGAGTACAAGCCTGGGCGGGCTAACGTGGTGGCAGACGCGCTGAGCCGCAAGGCCACGTTCACCTCCATCAGCCGACCTAAGAGTGACATACTGGATCGTGTCAAGGAAGGCCTGGCACATGATCCCTTAGCCAAGAGTCTTATGGAGCTGGCTCGTGCAGGCAAGACGCGACGATTCTGGTGCAATGATGGTGCTCTATATACTGTGGGGAATCGCCTATATATCCCGAAGTGGGAGAATTTACGATGGGAGCTGATGAAGGAGTGCCACGACTCGAGGTGGGCTGGACATCTAGGGATCAAGCGCACCATGGCACTGGTGGAAGAATTATATTATTAGCCACGGATGCGGGATGATGTTGAGGCCTATGTAAGGACGTGCCTAGTGTGCCAGCAAGACAAGATCGAGCAACGACAACCTGGAGGCCTCTTGGAACCCCTGCCAGCCCCAGAACGCCCATGGGAGTGCGTCACCATGGACTTCATCTCAGCTCTCCCACAGTCTGAAGGGTGCGAGTCTATACTGGTCGTAGTTGATCGATTCTCGAAGTATGGAACCTTCATCCCAGCCCCACGGGATTGCAAGGCAGAGGAAGCCGCACGCTTGTCTTTCAAGCACGTGGTGAAGTATTGGGGGCTTCCTTGCATCATCATTAGTGATCGGGATCCGAGGTTCACAGGGAAGTTATGGAGGGAACTTTTCAAGCTCATGGGATCAGACCTCCACTTCTCTACGAGCTTTCATCCGCAGACGGACGGGCAAACGGAGCGGGTGAATGCACTACTGGAGCTATATTT